GCGCTGAAAGAGGGGTGGAATATCCTACCACAATAACTCATTTCCAACATCGTGGAAAGTATTGGATCGCATTGCAGAGCATTTACTGTTGTCCGTGGTGATCACACATCCTTTTAGGAACCGCGGCCCTTTTTTTGAAATATTAGGATAATTTGTGAGGAACTATGAGTAATCGGTACTTTTCAATAAAAATGTCTTATTTGCTCGTCCTATTTCGATTTTCTGTTAGTTGCTTCCTGTGCAATACCGTAATGATCCTCTATCGTTACGGTATAAATTTCATCGAGCTCCGTCGTCTGGCAGAGGTACAGTAGTCGAAAGTTTCTTTCGTCCCTAAGTTTTGCACACCAGTGTATCAAGAAAAGTCCGTGATCAGATGAATGTCGCAAAGCGCGCCAAGATTAATTGCTTGAAACTACCAAGTTTGGAGACGAATATTGCAGAGTCGATATCTGCTGACTAGCCATGAAGCTCCCAGAAGCTTTATTTTCTACGATTTAGGCTACACACACTAAGGCGTGTATTATACAGTAGCGCTCAAAATTCTTCGGCCAAACGCTATTACGCTTTTCCATTCATAACCTTTTCCTTGAGAAGCAAAATTTTTCATATTCATCAAACAAAATTTTTGTATGCTTGACTAAAGCGTATTTCCCACTATCCAACACTACTAGACTGCAAACCAGCAATATCCACATAACTAGAGCAAGGTGTTTGTTGTGATAGTGGTAGCAGACTTCGCTGAAAGCAAACTCAGCGACGTCTGCAGTCATTCTCACCTTACATGCGTTTTTCTTCTCTACTTTGTTCGACATTAGCGCTCGTATACTTAAGACATCGCAAAAAAGAAAGAAGAAGTTTCAGAAGGACTATCATCCGTATTCAAACTTCATTTCGAGTCCGAGCTCTTTGGGATATGTGGAACAAGACCAGATCCTACTTACTATAAAGCGCTTAGTCTGTCGTCTGTCTGTCGTCTGTCTGTCGTCTGTATGTCTGTCACGAAATTCCTTAGCTTCTTTAGATCTGCCTGGAGAGACCGGGTGCGTGGGATGGGTGGGCCAGGTCTCGAGAAGTATAAAACACACGTCAGCTTGGCGGAGCCCCGCCCACAGTGGGCGTGGCGTGCATCGAAATGAGCTGTACTGAGGACCATGATTTCAAAATTAGTCATGAGGCGGCTTCAAAACTGGGGTTTAAAGGTGGCTTGAGGTGTGCATTGGTAAGTTAGATCGAACTGGGGAGACCCACCCCCGATGGGCGGGGCGTTCTCCAAAAATGCAGTGCTTTATGAAAACACTTATAACTCGGTTTGGAGAAAGCCAACAGAGCAGGAAAAGTTGATTTGGGAGAAGCATTGTCGAAGGTGTCTTCAGCATAAATGAAGCCAGCGGAGGCCCGCCCACAATGGGCCTCGAAGCTCACATCCCTTCTTTCATTTATATACGAAAATCCATAACTCCGGTTCCCATGGACCTAGAGAGTTCAAATTTGGTAGAGGCACAGGCGGCATGATGGCAAAACTTACGGTGGGTGGCAAAACCGGACTCCGCCCACAAGGGGCGAAAATTAATAACTCATGTCCCCATTGACCTAGAAAGTTCAAACTTGGTAGGAGTACTGGCGCCATGGTGGCAAAACTTACGGTGGGTGGCAAAACCGGACTCCGCCCACAAGGGGCGGGGTTTGGGTGAAAATTCAAAATTCTGTCCCAATGGACCTAGAAAGTTCAAACTTGGTACGAGTATAGACACCGTGTTGGACAAACTTTGGTGGGTGGTAGAACCAGACTCCGCACACAGGGGGCGGGGTTTGTGCGAGAATTCGTAACTCCTGCCCCCACGGAACTAGAAAGTTCAAACTTGATAGGTGTACAGGCGACAGGATGTGAACACTTATGGTGGGTGGCTGGACCAGACTCCGCCCACAGGAGGCGATGTTTGAGCGGAAACTCATAAATCCGATAAAGGCTATAATGCTCTCTCATGGTTAGAGCTCCTAGCGCGCGCGAGAGCGTGCGTAGCCGCCTGGTTGTAGTATAATAGTGGTAATTATTTACAATACACCCGTGCCACATATACATATGTATGTTGAAAATTCGCATGTCTAGACCCTGTAGTGAAGGAGTTACGACCGAAAAGTACTTCTCAAGAAGCATTCAAATGAAGACATTTGAGCGCTACTGCATGTCCACAACATCATATGTAGATGGTATTACTCAGCGGAAGTTTGATGTATCAGAGTGAGATAATTCTCTCTTCTCTCTGTGCAGCCACTTTGAGAGCATCCGCTCGAAATACATATTTCCCTTTGACAGATTTGCTGCTGCCTGATCATGGCCCCGTACACCTTACTCCGAATCCCTGCCTTTTAAAAACTTCTGACCATCCTCCTTTTAGCTGCTCCTAACCATTTTCTTCGCTTTCAAAACGTTTCTGAGAGAGTTATGAATTTCTGGTCGTAGTCTTGCTCTATGCAGACCTCATCCGCCTCAGAGATTTGACAACATTTCTTCTATCACCTCTGAACACTTTTCTCCGCGTTCTCGAACGTTCTTGAACATAGTTATTCTTTCAAAAGCAGCTTTCACTCGAACGAACGCAACGCCCATCGTGGGCGGAGCATCGCTAAGTTCACGCATGCTCGCTATGCAAAAAAGAGTTGCTCATTTCTTTTATTTTTTCTGGCTTCCAGATGTTATACCTTTTCATTTGGCTAATGTTTCACCCTTCCCTCCTTCGTCAAGGCCTCTTCTTCTTCTTCTTCTTCTTCTTCTCCCTAGCGTTAGTCCCGCGCCGTCGCAGGGTCCGCTGTTCTTATCAGTCGTCTCCATTTCATTCTATTTACGGCATCTTCTGCCGTCACCTTGGCTTCGGCGAGGTCCTTCTTGATCACGTCCCGCCATCTCTTCTTTGAGGCTCCCCGTGGTCGCTTGCCTTGCGCCTCAAACTCCATTGCCTTCCTTATCGGGTGGCTCTGTGGTCTTCTTAGGACATGTCCGAACCATCGTAATCGCTGCTCCCTCGTCTTTAGTTGAACTGGAGCTGTTTGCATGACCGTCCTGACGTCTTCCTGATCCGATCCAGTCGTGTCCAGCCGCAGGCCCATCTCAGCATTCTCATTTCAGCGAAGTGGAGCTGTCTTTCATGGGCTTTAGATGCTGTAGAGCATCGTAGGCCTTACCACTGCCCGATACACCTTTCCTTTGAGAGTCCTGGAGCATCTACGGTCGCAGAGGATACCAGTGGACTCCCTCCACTTCATCCATGCAGCGTTTATTCGGGATTTCACGGCCTGGTACCATCAGCGGCTAGATCACTCCCCAGGTATCGGAAGTCCTGGACCTTTTCGATGGCTTCCCCGTAACCGTCGGTGACTGACTGCCCTCCTCGGAGCTGAGGAACTTGGTCTTCTTCACGTTCAGCCGGAGTCCATTTTCCGCCAGCACTTTCTGCCATTTCTGGAGCTTGCCCTGGAGTTTTTCCTTGCTCTCCGCTATCAAAGCGATGTTGACAGCGTGGAGNTCATTCATACTGGGTTTTTAGACTTTTACGGCTTGGTCCACGCTACCGTCATCGGCTAGATCCCTTCCTAGGTATCGGAAGTCTTGAACCTTTTCGCAGGCTTCCGCATGACCATCGACGATTGACCGTACAGTCCTCGGAAGGGAGGAATTAGGTCCTCTTCACGTTAAGCCGAGCCTTTTTTCCGCCAGCACTTTCTGCCATTTCTGGAGCTTGCCCTGGAGTTTTTCCTTGCTCTCCGCTATCAAAGCGATGTTGACAGCGTGGAGGATGGTCCTCAGTGGTCCACGCATAAGTTCTTCTGTGATGACGGCCATCGTGAACAGGAAGAGGAACGGGTTCAGGGCTGAACTCTGCTGTACCCTAACAGTGACGTCCATTGATCCTGCTGACCTTGTGCAGTATGTATTGTTGTTGTGGAGCCATCGTACATGTCCTTGACCAGAGAGATTATGTGTTGTGGAACCTTTCGTGTTCGGAGCGTTCTCCAGAGTACTTGTTGCGGGAGACGGTCGAATGCCTTCTACGAATCGAGGAAGGCTAGGTAGCAGGGTCTACGCTTTTCTCGATACTTCTCCATAATTTGCCTAGCTATGAAGATGGCATCCGTTGTGGACCTTTCAGGCATGAAGCCGAACTGCTCCTCTGAAATTGGGACTAGGTCTCTCAATCTTGAGTAGACCAGCCGCTCGTACAGTTTCATCGTGTGAGCAGTCAACCTGATCCCCCGGTAGTTGGAACAGTCCATCGCGTCCCCTTTTCTGCTTGAAGATTGGAACGATAGTGCTCCTTCTCCACGCATCTGGGATTCTTCCTTCAGCGGTGACAGTGTTCAGGAATCGGGTGAGTCACTTTATCCCGTGCTCTCCGAGCGCCTTCCACGCCTCGATCAGTACTCCATCCGGACCATTTGCCTTTCCTACCTTCATCTTCCCTATTGCTATGCACACTTCATCCTCTGTCCAGAGTTTGATGGGGCCAGCCGTTGCCTCCAAGTGGGAGCTCTTTTCACGGGCGAATTCTTCGTTGAGAAGCCTGTCGAAGTATTCCTCCCACCTACGCCTGACCTCTCCAGGCTTCCTCAGGATTGCACCCTCGCTGTTCCTAACGGAATTCATGACCCCGATGTCCAGAGTGGCACGTTGACGCGCTTTCGCCAGGCGGAAGACGAACTTCTCACCTTCTCGACTGTCAAGTTTTTCGTACAAGGCGTCCATTTCCATGTTCCTTGCCTTCGCCACAGCAGCCTTGGCGAGCCTCTTGGAAGTTTTGTAGGCAGCTAGATCCTCGTGTCTTTTGCCAACGTTTGTAGGCCAATTTCTTCTCTCTCACAACTCGCTGGACTTCATCGTTCCAGAACCATGCTTCCTTGTCTCCTCGGAGGCCACCTCGAGTTTCCCCCAGCGTTTCTTTTGCTCATCCTAGGATGACCTTGACAGCGTTGCTCCAGGTGTGCTGGATCGATCCCTCGGGATCTGGAAGTCCAACTTCCAGTATCCCCTCTTTGAGATGTTCTCTTTCTAGTCGGTGCAGCTTCCACCACCGGATCCTCCGTTCCGTTCTTGTCCTTGCTTTCTTGGGAAGTTCGATGGCTATGTCTGCTAGGAGGGGCCTGTGCTGTGTAGCCAGTTCTTCTCCAGGCAGTACCTTGATGTCTTTCACAGTTTTGAGGGACGACCTTCTTACTAGCACATGATCTATTTCCGTTTCGTTCCCTTCACTGCTGTAGGTTACCTTCTGAAACCTCCTTTTCGCGAAGAAGGTGCTGCAGACTGCCAAGTCATGGGCCACGGCCAGGTCGAGAACCCTTTCTCCTTCTTCGTTTCTAACTCCTATCTCTCTACCTCCATGTACCCTTTCCAGTCCCCTCCTTTCACTGCCGACGTGCCTATTCATATCGCCTGCTATGGTAAGGTCGTCACCCTCCGGAACCGATCGGATGGCCTCGTCAAGGTTCAGATAGAACTCATCCTTTTCGTAGACGGGGCAGCCGGCTTGTGGTGCATACACTGACTCCTTCGTGTCTATCCTTACAGCCATGATTCTGCTACTGATCCTGCTGACGGCGGAGACGGAGTTTTTGAGGGACTCCGTTACTGCTATGGCCACGCCATTTCGTTTGGTGTCATCCCCATTGTAGTAGAGTTTAACACCCTCTCCGACTTCTCTGGCTTTTGCTCCCTTCCAGCGGGTCTCCTGGAGGCATAGGANTCGCACTAACTTCTTAAACCGAGGTCGTTCACTCCTCGGCAGCCCTCGCATACTGTCCACAGAACTCGGGCGGGGATCCTGTGCGCCACTTCCGGGTGACGTCCTAGCTTTATCACTGATACCTTTTGAGACTTTAGACATGTTTGTTGTGACTGGGTTTCTCCATCAGCCGGCCTGTCAACCTGGCCTGACGCTGGTACCGATACCACTTTTGCAATTTTTTGCAAGGCATGAGTTGCCTCGGCAGGGATCGAACTCGCACTCCCTGTAAGTGCAACGTGAGCCTACACTCTTATCCACTCGGCTATCCCTGCCTCACCAAGGCCTCTAAGCCAAGAATATTTAAAACCCATCATTAAGAAGAGCCATTTCAGACTGTAGCTTGGTTTAAGTATGGCCTTTAAACATCTGGAAATGTCTTTCAGTTCACAACTGTGAACCCTCATGGAAATGTACGAGTAAACCTTTTTGCCACCTTCCAAACTGCCTATTTGAATTTCCGCAGTGGGTCGACTCCGTTTGACTTGATCCCCAACTTGAAGGGCAATTGTAATCCACACAGATCGAGTAGTGGGGCAAGTTCATTCGCTAGGACTAGTCATTCGCCTTTTCTATTCATTTTGAGTTTTTCGCACCAATCCAGAATGCTTCCAAAGTTTGGCCGTGGAGGTTGCGAGCTCCCGCATCAAAATCCTTATTGATATCTCAAGCTCACGTTTTTGTGTCTATGCCTCCGATGGTCAATGCGGTGACGGTCATACAATCAGTTTTGAACCAGTCTCTGCCTACCGTTTATAGGAGGAACTTCGATCACTCGCACCATGCCACCAAAGCCGCACCTGCGCAAAGCCGTTCACATCAGAACTGGAGGAGTTGACGTGAAGGGAAGACAAAAAGTCACTTTTTTCGGAACTTCGTTCGCGAGCCCCTGTGGTCCACTAATTGGTAGAGGGTAGCCTGCAAGAGCAGTGATCGTTTAGTGGGTACCCATCAAAGATAGCTATTTTTTGAGCGAGCTCCACAGATTTTTTTTCTTCCGATCACCCAGTAAGATTATTTTTGCCCTCCTGTACATGTTCGCCGCTAAGGCCCCCTCGGTTTCGAAGTGATGCGGCGACTTGAAATGGAACAGGATATTCCTGCTAGGAAGTTCCCATATCACTACGTGGTAAGCAGAAGCCCTCTCTCAAGCTGAACTTGCACTTTTGGGAGGGCGGCATTTGTCTTTGGGCTTTTCCCATGTAAATCGAATGCTGTCAGCTTGGTTGTCAGAAAGCCGCGTTACATCAATCTACGAATTGAACGTTTTACCTTTGTCTTCATAAGTAAACTCAACCTTTTGCGTTCAGCAAGGAATTGTGTGGAGAACGCAGAAGGTTATTTTGGGAGTAGGCGCTACGCTGTTGTCTGCCTGAATGGCAAACAACCGCGTAACGCATACCGCCAAAATTATTAGCTTTGGTGGAAGCATCGTAACTTTATTGGAGCATATTCTTTATCATTTCATGATTAGATATCAGTTGATTCTTTCCATACATCGACATCACGCTTACATTGTTAAATGCAGATGGCCGCTGCCTGAACAACAGGTCAAAAAAACGTGATTTGCCTTTTGTTCTCTGTTTCTAAGCGCTTCTCAAATCTCCATGAATTAACTTCAAGTGGATAGTAGTCTCTGAAAGAGGAGCTCAAGCCTCAGCCTAGATTCAGGCCATGAATTTGAAGCATCGACCCGATCCAAAGGCCATTGGAAACCGTGAGGTTCGCAGGAGACTGCCGTTGCGGCTGCACTGCAAACACTAGGATGCATGGCACACTAAGGTCTAGCGCAGTGTAGACGCAGCAATCGATCATCACTTCCGACTATTCACCATCTCTTGACAGATGGTACTCGAAGCACCACACCATGATGTCACATTACACATTGCCTATCCCTTTGAAAAGAAAGTAAAAAAAGTCACACCTTTTGTTCCGCGCTGCTCAGTCCAACAAGAATGTAATCGTATAGCACCACGTACAAGTTGTCCACTGAGCGAAGACGTAAAACCTGCAAAGTTAAAAGGGACGACCATTTGGAGATAGAATGACTCGACACCAATGTAAACCTCAGGAATTCGGCGTTGATCGATCTCGAACCGTACATGCCCTCGACCTTTTGTTGAATGCGCGTGAAATTTTGACTCTATTTCCTCGATGGCCACTGCTTCAAATCCAGTTATTACGCTTGCATATATTTCAACCATCTAGAAAACCTCATATCATCGGTAACAAGAAACATCGATCAAGTTTGTTATAAAGTTTCGGGTCATTGAAATAATTACTGGAGTAACTTTAAAGGCGGTGGCATAGCCGTTAGGAATTTTCCCTGTTTTTCCCAATTATTGTCCTCGAAGTCCCTCATCTCCACATCGGGTTGGCATCAGCGCTCGATCTCACTGCCCTTGCGGATTAGTGGCTATATTGTTGTTCACAGGCCAAAAATGTAATACTCAAGGATTCTCTGAGTCGTGAAAGTGATTCCAGGAGGATGCACTATCAAAAGGTTTTCCCGTACTCTCAGAAAAGTGCATCTTCAATTTTAAATGAGCTCTCACCCTCACTCACTCCCTTTGGAATTATCTCTTTGATGTTTGCTGACCTCGCACCGACACTCGTCCACTTCGAATTTTCATATTATTCATCGCCTTTTTTTGCTCTTCTTTCATCCGTGCATTGAAAAAAGTCTAACGTATTCAAAATGATTCATTGTTGCTCAGCTGCAGTTTGATTTTTAACGAAATCCGAATCCCATATTGTTTTCATCTGAAGTATTCTGCGCGTGAATTTACTTCCATATCTTTTCGGCGAAATACGTGACCTTCAGAAACAGCCGTCATAAGCTGCCCCCATCAGAAACCAAGTCGGTAGTTCTCCTCATTGAAAGCTGGAGAGGAGGAAGAGGTAATAGGTGCAATAAGCTTGGACCTAATCAATATGAACTTTCATCTTGGTTGTTGAGAAATTATGGTGACGGGTGGAGGCTCATCTGAATTTTTTCAAGAATAAATTTTCAAAATATTTGCCGGGTTCCTCATGCTGACAAACATACAATACTTTCAAAAGCAATAGGAAGGTCTATAAAAACTGAAAGAAGCAAGTATGGGGTGGGGGGAAGGGGACCAGGTATGTAAAACTTTCAAGATATACGATTAAACGTCACGTTTCCCATTCTTCTCTCGCACTGGATCATTTTTTATGATGCTGTTGAATTCAATCCAAAAGGCGTGGCAGCCCAAGAAATAAAAACCAGTTCTATCTTATGGGAAGGCATGTGGGAAGGAGATATGGCAACACTGCAGTACTGCAAGATGTCTTGACAAGTCACTTATTGCTAGTGAATGCTGTCAGAGCATACTTCTCATATGCTCATGAAATCTTACATTCTTGTTCCTTTTTCGAAAGGCGCAATTGTGATAAAATTCCCAATAAAGCTAATTTTTCAGTTTTCAACTGAGTTCAAGAAAGAGATGTATCAGCAGTGAGAATCTCAGGGTCCGTGCGAAGGATCTCTCTATAACCGCATCTTTCACTGAGGTCGCACACCACCCTGCGCCTTTTAGTCCGTGGGTCCTGGGCAAAATCAATTCTTCGCATTAGTTGGAAACTAGCTAAGTGACTCCATTTTCTCGCATGCTGTGTGTGTGAATACGATCTCACGCTGAGCTTATTCACCCCCTTCTCTTTTAAACTGAGCACTGGTGGAGTAGAACCAAGCGGCACGCTACCATATATGGGGCCAGGAGATCAAAACCTTGCTAACCCAAGCCTACAGAATCTTTCATCCCTCCAGAGTTGGCTAAACGTTCCTTACACAGCATCTATATATGATAAACAGTGATTACTTTTTATCACCTATAGATGATATGTAAGAAACTGAAGATAGAAATATGCACAAATTTTATTTCATTCACATAGGCCCAGCACTTATCAACCTATCCATCTGATTCGAGACTAGGATTTAAGGTTGAAGTCTGAGTGACCAAAGCGTAAAACCTTGAATCATACTGATTGCGATTATCTGGGGGCCCAATTTACTCACATTTCCCAACAAATTTCGGACAGACACTTATTTTTTGGCACTTACAAGGTTTTCTCAATAAAGTACTCTAGACATCCTCCGAACTATGTCCGTGCGAGATATTTGTAAGATAGATCATGGCTCCAAACTATCTCGAGTACAAACCAATCGGCGTGTACATAGGTTTGCCTATGTCTATAGATCCATCCACAAATTATTGCGACGTAGGAGCCCATGAAAATAAACGAACCAACAGAACCGGGAAGCTAAATATTGACATCTATCGATATGTAATGACAACGGCAGTTGTAGTCCTAATAGCTAGAACACTTCTTCGAATGTCATGCAGCTGTTAAGGCAGATCTCACTCTATGGAGTAAGCATTTTACCAAGATGCCAGATGGCCTAACGTGCGCGTGACAACAAAGAACCTGTTTCGACGTGAATTTTCAATCATGGCTCCGCCCACCTCGGCGCACGCCCCGCCCAACCAATGACAGTTGAATATTCTTCTTTTGGTAACCTGTAGCCCCGTTTTCTAGATTCTAGAATGACTTTGAACAGAGTCATGAATTTTTGTGAATAGCACATCCCATTCGAGAGCACGCCCTTATCATGACCCAAGGAGCTTAGCCTAACTGATGCACTACAACCACATATTCAGTCATTACTCCTACTTATTTGTTAACACCTTTGCCAGTTCACCCTTGCCCACACTTCGCCTTTACCAGTTTTCTTTCGTTGTCTGGGCAAGACAATGTTGAGACGTAAAGAAATGGGAGTGAATTGTGCAACGAATGGAATCAAAAACTATGCATCCCTGAACTGATTCTGTCCACGTAATCAGGCATTTTGGACATCAATGAATTGTTTGTTTTAGTTGAATCAGTCCACAATCGTGACGTGAAAAGCCTCACGACTAAAGGCTGAAATCAATCTAGGATGCATACTCACAAGTGGCAGACTTTGATATGCGATAACTGCTATGTCCGCTACACTTCTCGCTCTCATTTTGGAAGATGGAATCATAGCAGTACCGATAAACGTGCATTAGAAAGCTAATGAATTAAAAATTAGGAAAACTAGCGATCAAGAAAGTTGAACACCAAGGAGTAGTACCTGCGGAGGAAATCCGTTTTCACAAGAAAAGTAAAGTTGTCACCGTGCCGTCAAAAAAATAATCGAATGTGTACCTAAACGATTTTCTAAGAGCCAAGCATGGTTTTTAAGCATAACCGAGCATAACTGATCACTCGAGGGTCAATGGGGAAGTCTCTTGTGCCCTCTACCACCTACATCCACTATACTGATTTTATTAAATCGTCTTGTATGTCAACGACGTCTTTATAACGTTCAAATCGTCTAAATTCTGCGCCAGAGTGCCGCTACTTAGGAGGAATAGATTCCCAAACTTACGTAACAGGAAAAAAGTGACGTCTACAGGAAGATAACCGCTATGACGCTGTTGTATAAAATTACAGTTCTTTACAAACATCACGATTTACTTATGAATAAATAATTTTACAGCGAATGAACACACGATTCGAGCAACCATTTTAAGGATAAACTTGACCGCATGATTCTGGACACGAATTATTATCTGATTTCACGTTGCTATCAAAGACATACTGCACATATCCATTTCAATGCAGTAATCAGTAGAAAATACAACAGAAAAAAACGATGACCTACAGGGACATATCAACGCAACAAAAGACCAATTGAAGAATAATCGTTTCATGTAGGGATGAAGAGATATTCACAGTCAATTTCAAATACGTGAAATGAAACCGTTACGCTTCCACAATGAAAGAGAAACAAAAATTATCAAAATTACAAACAATTATACTATGTACGACACCGTATCACCGCTTAATTTGTTCGATTGCAATTCGACAAAAAGCCCTTGAGAAGCTTAAAAACTCTTACACAACCACCTCGTATACAGAATCAAAATACTGACATGCGAACGCTACAAGGAGTTATTAGGCACCCATTCGGCGTCAGTAGGTGAAACTTACAAGGTACAATTCAACTGTGTGAATGGCCGTATCGGAGAGCACGATATCACCGGATCGACACGAGTCCAGGTAGGTAGGTTGCGGTAGCCGTGAAAATTGAAAAAACTCTATTCCAAAGTGATGCAATCATCTTCCGAAGACTTCGCGGTATCCTTATTCTGGAAGATCACATGTTCATCAGCTGCATTTCTGGAATACTGTTAAAGACGAAGGCAGAAACGAACTAGTAAAGCCTATCACCTCCGAACTGATAGTCAAAAGGGTCTTCAATGAAGAACTTAGCACACCTCTATTTCAAAATTAGACGAATATGTCAGTCTTTTAAAACTGCTTTTGAATGGTCTTCTTAAAGGCACCTATCACAAAAAAGTTAGGGTACCCTTTTCTGACGGGAATTGATAGAACTACTCTAGAATAAAGCGATAACAACGAAAAAAGCTCAAAAAACGATGAACAAAAAGAATTAAAAAGGGCCAAAAAAAGAGCTGGAAAGGGGTTTGGACGAGTTTCACAGTGAAAGAACGTCGGTTAGAGAGTGTTCGGGCAAGTTGGCAAATTGCCAGGGACGGCAAATTGGCAACTTGCCAGAGACGCAATGTGTTGTCTGNGGCGGAGGGCGACCGTGGATATCTGTCCGGCCCCTGATTGTGCCCTATTCAGCCGTTTTCCTACCTCATTCCTGCACAAATGGTATCAGAGGGGGCGTCGAATTCAAACTATGTGCAAATGTCCGAAACAATGTTTTTGTTAACAGTGCCTTTAAGTAGCTAATGAAACAAAACACTAAATGACAAAAATAGGTTCAAAAGCTAACTTTTGCAGCGCCATTTGATGCCGAGGCGGAATCTGCGGCTGGAACTCCCATATTTTTGTCAGTAGCTCCCTTTGGATGATTTGCATTCAAGTGAGTTTCTAGAGTAGTGTAGCTGCTACACTTGAAAGAACACACGTCGCAAGAATACCTGAATAGTGAACGCAGCGAAGTTATGGCAGAAAATGAAGATCTGGTATAATGAAAGAAATTGTGACTCACATAATTTCCGCCGAACATAGCTTTATATGGTGGTCAGCAACCAGATGTTGCAACATGTTAAATGCATACTGCTGAAACAACGCATTATAACAGTGTTTGCGATGTCGCAGTAATTAACAATAACGGAACCTTAGCGCAAAGTTTACATCTACCGCCATCAAGCTTGTTCTGGGCTTTCGCTAAAAGGTCGGCAGTGACCAATCCATGAGCCATTACCTACAAGTGAATGTGCGAAACAATGCCATCTGAAGACAGGAAAAACACATAATAAGTAAAAAAACAAACAAGATGACGTTCGAGCCCTTCATATGTCCAAAATCGTTCCCGACAGCGGCTACAGGCCAATGGAGCTCCTAATTTTACATCGTCCAAGGTCTTGTCACGAAGATGTTTGTGGATTAACTGAGACAAGGAATATTATGAAAGAACATGTATGTCTAAAATTTCCAAAACAATAGTTGTCACCTGCAAATGCTGAAAGTAACGCTCCCGATCAACCATATTTTGATCACAAATTTCACAAATTCCAGGACCACTTCCAGCATTTGTGGAGTTTCCTAAGGCGTGGGAGGCGGTAGACGTGGTCGTACCTGACGCTGCTGTCGAAAGCCCTCCGTTGGCCATGGCAAGGGCTTTCTGCATAGCCGCTGCGTTCATCTGGAAAGTAGGTGAATTTCATGAAGATAAAACAAATACGAATGAAGTAAAAGCTTAAGAATACATTAAAGTTCCAATCTCTCTACGACAATCGTTTGCTTTGTTAGTAGAACACAGGAAAAGTGATGAAGCCCTGATAAGTGGAAAATGGAAACATTTCCTTGCAGTGGGGGGAAGCATCTCTATGTTATAGTTAACCAATTTTATTAGGACTAATCACGGTGATTGAGGGTCTCTTTGAGCTCAAAACAATCTCAATCCACAGAAGCGATAGTACTGATGTTTAGAGAACACTGGTTATTGATATAGGTGAGTATATAGTTCCACCAGTTTCAGATGTGCTGCGAAATAAAACCATCATGCGGAGTCGCCTGAATGGTAACCGCAGAAATCTGCACAATCTCAACCTATCCTGATTGATTTACGCTGAGTTTGAGGGAATAACTCTGTCGGTAATCAGAATCGTACTCACGAAGAAGCGCCCGAGCCGCGAGCCTGACCATACTAGAAATTTGCTCGCCTCACTAAATATGACAACGCTTCCATCAAGGAGAAAAGAGGGAAGAAAGAACGAGATTAAGTCGAATATTCTCCTCCTCCTACTTTGAAGATGTAGTAAAAAAGCTTAAAAGGAAAGGTATCCTAAGCTTGATAGGTTTAGTGATGTGAGAGAAGACCATATGCCACCATGGTCCACGATTGGCATAGAGAAACAGAGTTTTTGAAGGTGGTTTCCTCTTTAAGGTTCCAAGAATCACATAAAAACGCAAGATGCATAGTAAATCGCCACTACATGTAACGAATGCCAAGACCAAAATGATTGCTAAGTGAACATTGTTGCACTTACAGTAGGACCCTTTCTCAAAGCGGAAGCATTTGCAAGTAGTGCATTACGACTGGCAGCAAGATTCTTCTGATATAAAGCAGTTGCAGCAGCCAGAGAACCAACAGTGGTCGCCGCTGCAGTTGAACCACGCTGTTGATTGGCACGTTGGATGTGCTGTTGCATGGCTAAAACAGGAAAAATCATCGCTGTTAGAAAACATTCACGTTTTATGACTGATCTGAATCATCTGATCGCTGAGGATATGGATTTACCTTTTCAGCATATTATCACGGCTTTAAATATGAATGCTGATGAACTAGTAAATGTAGCACAGGAAGCGAAGTGAGACACATTCGGTTTCAGGGCACAAATGTATCAGAAAATGAGTCCAGATGGTGTCTATCCGAGCAAACCAAACCGTGTAACTGTACGGGAACATTTTCAAAATTGTAATCAAATACAAAAGAGTTGCATCCACAAAACTTTTCGAAAAACCTTAAGCGCGGAAGCGTCTTTTAGCTAGGGGTCAAGGAAATAGAGGATGTTGGTTAGTTAATTATTGTTCATCAATAAGAAGGTTGGAAATGGAGTAGCGATGAGTAGTGTGACGCAAGCAAGGTTCGAGGAACGGATTAGAGGACGATTTCTTCCTAGGAAAATCGAACCCCGTTCCATCCCGTCAGATGGAACCTGACGCTAAATGGCCTGCTAGTCACTGCATAAGCTCAATAAGTTAAAATATACAGAAGACAAGCAAGAGCATGGGTCAGGTTTACCAGTGTAGAAGGGCAAAGCGTTGGATTGACATGTTATCGTTCCGCCTGACCTCTTATTATAAGCGTACACAACCGGAAGAGCACATTTTGCACCTTAGAGTGACTATAAAGGCTACACTGGCTACACAAGAGTGACTATAAAGGCTACACTGACTACACAACAGTTCTGATAGCCGCAAAAAAATCTCATACAACACAGAACAACGTTATCATCTGATTTTCTCGAATTCAGTAAGAAGATAAGTTCACCCGAGCAGGAGAAAAACGAAAATTCGAATATGCCTAAGCACTGCACATGCGGCATTCAGTTCCATTTTTGATCAAAAACGGAAATTTATAAGTTTGAGCGATACAAACCTGCAATAAGGCTGTTGCCACTTTGCCCAATCATGTTTCGCTGCTGCATCATCGCAGCTGCCTAAGACAGCATTCATCATAAGAAGGAATCAATAATAATTAGGAAGAGTACATTGAAGCGATAATCTACGAGTACCTGTCGCATACGCTGTTGTTGTTGCAATAGCTGTTGTTGGAGGGCATTTTGCTGTGCATCACGAACAGCAGCAGTGCGACGCAAGGCAGCCTGGGCCACAGCTTGCTGGGCTTGTGCTAGTTGATTTCGCTTCTGAAATGGTATATCAAATCAATAGAAAACCTTGAAGAGTCTTCTGTAGGCAGCACTAATCACCACTGAAGAATGGAACCAACTTCTGGATCAGTTACTACCTTAGCGACAAAAACTGACGTCACATAATATTAAAACATTGAGAGTCCTACCAAGGTGAAGTGTGCCTAACGCATTATGACACTTTGTCGTACTATGTTGCACTTTATCATCTATCCCGCACATTAAGAAATGCGACTCTGAAGTAGTTTGCATGGTTTTACCTGACCGATTTCCCTAGTAGTTAAACATGCAGCCAGCACTTTTACAACCATCTTATCAAAAATAACCCTGTGATATCGACGATCCGCAAGCTAGAACAACTTTCAAAACGATATGAAATGTTTGTTTCCTGGGTGATTGGCCCTTCCCATTAAGGGCAGAAACGGAACACTTTTGCATTGATATCACAGGTAGAAGATCACATCTGTGCAGAATACAGGAAATCTTCCTTTTTCAAAAACGTTCAATATGAAGTGAGGATATGGATAGCGTAAGCTTGGAGTGCTCCTATCTGCATCGAAAACGAGTCGTTTAGAGAGAGACGTCGTTCTTTTAATGGACGGCGTTGAGACTTCTGGGCCCATACTAGTTCTCGCCTGACCACTTGCCTGTGAAAACATGCGCGTGTTTAACGCGCAGAACCTTTTCTATAAATTAATATTAGTACGATCCCATCGATGGAAACACCGCACGCTCTTCCTTGAACCGTGCACCGAACTTAGGCACGTATTGCATCGACTATTTATGACCTTCAACTCGGACGGAGATAATTGAGACACAGAATAGTGGAGAAGGGGTATTCGAAAACAGAGTAGAACTACCTGATCTGATTTTGCAAATAGGAGGGAGGTATTAATACTGCGCTGGTTATGTCATGGCCCTCAGAACGGCCAATGATGCGAGGATATCAAAATTATTCGCCATTCCTTCGTTATCGCTGCTGATGGCTTGAATATTCACTTTAATCGCGAACATATTCCTACTTAGTAATCGCAATGAAGGACAGATAGTGTCCGTGTCAACCGATTCTAATACCAACTTATCGAACTTGGAGCTGAGCAGGATCTGGATGACTTAAGAGGCAATCATATAATGAATAACACTGGCTATAACACCTCCCCATCTAATCAACTGTTTTGCACGAAAAGAAGTCCAAAACGCTCAAAGCGCGAATAAAACCAGATCAACTTGTGCAGTTCTGGAAGATTTCGATTTACGATTAGTATTACAATTTCCGAAACCTGTTGTTGTTGAGCCGCCTGCTGCTGTTGCAAAATTGTAGGATCGATTGGAGGCCGCTCCCACAGCCATCGATTGATCATGAGCTGATCATCGGGGCCCTAAAAACTAGTAAGTGATCGATAGATTTAAAAGGTAGGGAGCTATTTCACCGTTTACTTGCCTTTGGTCCCATGATATTCCGAACTCGGCTGTAGTCTTTCTTGCATGTTCGTAGGTGAGTATCTCGAAGACCTTTATACTGGAAATCTTCATCGCAGATAAGGCATGGATACTTTGCTTGTGGTTCGTCTTTCGAGGCAATTACCAGGTGAGATTCCCTAAATTTGCAGAGATGCGTTGAAAAACGGATACGAACCTTTCAGCGATAAATCTGAGCTATTCACTCACAGATAATGATTGACGAGTCGCTGTTCATTGGTGTCAAACTCAGGGCACATAGCACATTGATACTTGCCGTTCTTGAAATGTACAGTGGATCGATGTGACTGCAGCACCATTCGAGACTCTGTCTTGAACCCACAAACCTGCAAAGTTCAAACAATTTCCAAAAGATAGACGCTTACAACTGAGAGCCAAATTGGGAATTTCGCTTCTATAACAGTTGTCAGCTTAGCAAATACCACTGAATAATTCGCTGACAGCATATGAATCCCACAAGGGCTCGTGATTGGTTCGTAACATAATGAGCTGTATGTTTAAAAATATACTAATCATGCAGAAATCGTAACAATAACAACTTTTCATCGACGGGCTCACTCCTCCTCCCTTGCATAACCTTCTTTTTCTAGTCTTTTTGACCCCACCCGTGAAGTTTTTCTTACAAATAGTTCTACAATCAACACTGCTTCCAGTGATAGTAGCTGATTATTGCTTATCGATGAATGGCATAAATGTGACACAAACGTAGCCATATCAATTGAGAGACTACTAATTCCCATAAGGTAACATCATGAGTCGAATTGATCACAAACGGGTTCCATATATGATAATCTATCCCTCCGTAGTGGCCTATTTGTCACACTATACAACCTAGGGATTAGTAGTTGGCTCTCAATTACCACTTCACCATTTCAGATTTCTTGTTTGAGTTCAAAGTTTTCTTCGTACCAGTACAATTACTGCCCTACTTTTCTAATTTGCCCGTCGCCTTTGCATTCCATCTCCCTCCTCTGATAAAGCTACGTTGAGTACCTCAAGTGCTGTTTTCGAACATGTGGGTCCCTACGGGTTCTTAAAAATTATCAACAGCAAAGAAATACCAAAAGAAACAAGGGGCTTTTGAATAAAAAACCAAATCGTTGACGGATAAGAGACTGAAAAAAAAACAGAAAAAAGCTAGCGGTATGTGTATTATGCGCAACTATATTAGGATGAGTATATTAGATTGAGTATTAACTTGAATCTCCGCATTCGTCATTTTAAAGTAACAAGTGAATCAAAGGTTTAGAAATGCGGTTCACTGAGTATCTTCGCATATAAGTGAAAAGAGAATTGTTCTGAACCAACTTGGCATGATAACATCTTCATTTTGTACGGCTCATTTCGTTTCCGAAGAGCCTCCCATACAGGCTTGAGCTGAGCGGCGACCTATAAGTAGATAGCGATACGAATTCTAAGAAATCTAAGTTCACATAATTCAAGAAGAAATTTGGTTCACTTAGTATATAGTCTTGTAAATTTGAGTTTTTTTTTTAACTAGCTGATTTCAGACCGGCCAAGCTTTTCGGCTTTACAGCATGATGCAGAATAATAAAATTTTCGAAAATACAAAAACTCAAGGTATGAGAGCCATCGTTGACTGCTACATTCACCATTACCAACAATTTAGAAACAACTCCAAACATCAACAACAAAAAAGCTTTGCAACTGTCCTACATAAACTCAAACGTTATTGCTTGGAATCGGTGCAATGTGAGAGTAAGGCCTTCAAAGACAAAAAAAATGAAACGGTAAAAAGCGCTAATTCACAAATAGTTTCTTGGGTCTATTCTTACAACTTTACAACGTTTATCCATATCAATTCGCGTATGGGCGCGTTAGAAGGAATGTCACGTGGAAGGTGCTTCGTCTCGTTGGGAAAAACAATCGACCTCGACTTTCTCGTGAAAGGAGATCACTTTGTAAGCCTTTGTGCCACTTTGCTCAGTCCATACAATGGAAATAAACATCAGCTATGACTATGAAGAAGCTTGCGCAAACTAAAACATTGACGGAACATATAGAAATAGAACTTCTTTCCACAAAAAAAANAAAAAAAACGCCAAATTAATACCAAAACTTTTCCTATGGGTTGCGCCATAACGCGAAACAAACATGACCCCTGCGGCCCCTAAACTTTTCTTTTTATTTCAAGTATGGATGCTTTACAAACTTCCAAAGGAGGGCTAGAGAACTTTGTGGCAATGCGCCAAAATGATTGGCCCAACCGTAATTTTGTACTTGCACTCTCACCAGTAGAGTCGATCTGAATGAACGTACTAGTATTCATGTATTTATTTAGCTATTTAGCTACTTGTATTTGGCTATCGAAAGGGATCCAACGGCAAACCCTCCTTGATAGTTCCCTCAGCTTTCCAAATGTTTTCTTAATTCCAAAGTAGTGGCATAATGTTCTTTGAGAGTTCCGGAACAGCAGCAACCCCCCTGGTAGAGTAACAACCCGCATTTAAATCCACTCACTGGCCTTGACGGAAGGAAGATGATCAAACATAATGGCTGCAGATCCTTAGAACCAAACCCGGGCTTTAAATGGTCAGGACAAATCAAGAATCCTATATGAATAACGGATTCGCGCGAGTAATTTATACACTTGCACTGGCCTCAAATTCATTTCATGCAAAATTGAGGAAAGCAATTCAGAGAACGGAACGACTTTCAAGTGATGGCCCTTGCAAGGATAATTCCAATGGTAAGGGTAGCGAAGAACGTTTTTTTTTATAAATTAATCGCGGTTTTGAAGGGTGTACCATTATTTTGCATTGCGCTGCAGCCATTCAGGACTAAATGGAGGAAGGTTGAGCTTTCTGCTCAGCAACCTTATTCGTCCATAGGACAAACCATGGGATATGTTAAAGTATGTAGCCTAAGCATTCATATAAGCTTGGCGAAACTATTCTTTCATGGCGGAAAAGGGCAGCAGAAAACAGCTCAGCATGCGTCTGGATTGGCCACCCATCTTTCCAAAGTCGCTCAACTTATACGAGATCCATGCAAAAGATGAAAACAATGAATTTCAGGAAGGCTAGCCCACAGTCATCGCTTATGCCTCCCAGTACCCACTCAAGTTCCACCGTTAATTAAAATTCAATACAAGGCGCATGTCAAGGGAGAATGAAAGAGTGGGTGAAACGTACCCATTATCAGCTTAAAGATGTAGGATTCATCGTTCGAAGTAGCATACCGAAACACTATCAAGCGTTCATTTTCAATTAAACTTTGATAATTTAAAATACTACTTATGAAACACTTTAATCTATTTTTGATATTAATTTGATTAATTTTCTGTTTAATTATCACTGACTTACGCGCGATTGAGTAGAAATAATGGAACAAGGTCTGCATTAAAATCACCAATTTTATGATAGTTTCACTTACACAAATCATACTAAAACGTTCTAATGAATCGAAAAGAGATTGCAACTGACTCCCGCTAAACTCACACATCGATATTGATAGAAATAAATGAACCCTTTATGCCATCCTAATTCATTTGCACCAGCTGCTAAGCAGGGATAAAAAAATAATATGCTGGTACAATTCAATTTCATACATCAGCGTTTGATCAAAAATTCCAAGAGTACTCTGTATTTACGGGGCTCACCCCGTAAATACAGAATAGGCAAACTAACTGAAAATAAACTCAAGCCCCAAAACGTCTTAGTAAGAGCCTGACCAGGTAGGAAAAATACCACATTTCCGTTGTAAGAGTTCCTTCTGATGAGAAAAAAATTAACAGAATTTTTCTCAAACCTGTTTATAGGTTTCAATGTTCTTTGGAGTCTCTGGCAGATTGCGAGCATGGACAATGTCGCAATACGTTGATTCCTGAACCAAATCCTGGCCTATGTCCAAAAGCAATTTTGTCATGTGTGGAGCATTATTATGCAGCTGAAAACACGCAAGTATAACCGATTGAGAACTACAACTGAAAGCGAGATATACTCAACCTTTAACGACTGCCTTTCCTTCTTCTCTGTGTCATTGAGCTTTGGACGTTCTTCACCAAACATCCTGGTTATTACCTTTGAGAGCGGATGATCAGGATCATGCTCAATGAGCATGTCTACTGTCTGAATTAAGATAATGAAAAATAACAGAGGTCATAACGTCATAATCCGCATAGCGGCAATGTCCTCTGAGAAAAATCAAGGTAATGGTAAAAAAAAAAACTGACCAAGCTAGGAGGAAATGAGATCGTGTTGGGTAATACAAGCTGCTTGTCTAAAATCAGCTTGCGTACACTAAGCGGTTCCTTTTGCACTTGAACGTTAATTGCTCCTAGTAGGGCGTCTAGGACTTTCCTATCGATGTTTTTCTTATTATCGATAGCCTGAAACGATGGCTATCAAGACGCCCTTTCCAGGGGACGCGTCAAACGTTTAACGTTGGCATTTATCTTACGTCCGAGACATATTCCTCCAACTTGTTCAACAGAGCTCCAGGACTGGTCAGTTCTGCCTCTTTCTCTTTATGTTTGTCTTCTTTCTGAGATGGCCTCGCTTCGCTCTTTCCCTAAACATGCGAAGGTTTCGAAGTTAGAAACTAAAAGGTAAAAGTACACGTACATTGATCGCAGCGACCTCGGAGTCGTTGGGACTACTGCCCTTCAATTTTTTTGCTGGAGGTTCGCTTACTTCCTCATCTAGTTCAATACACTCCACATCGCTTGAGGCAATACCACCGTTTGTTGCTAAAATCAGTTGCTGAATAGACAATCGTAAAGATAACCAACTACCAGCGAGCTGGTATAAACTTCCACAAAAGATGCTTAGAAAGTAAAACGAGAGTTAGGTGTCACAAGGTGGAAGTTTATCATAACAAAAAACCGAATTACCGCTGCTTGAGGAGTTTTCAATCAAAGAAAGCCAAGGAGGCAAAATCGAGTAGAGGTCAAATTTCCAACGCGGATTAAAAGTCTTTGCTAAAGTAGATGAGCCTTTTAAAACAGGGGAATTCAGTAAACACAACCCAATGATAAAAAGGGAAATAAATGTGACTATATATCGACCTTCTATTGCGTGGAAATTCACTTCTGAATATTTCTAAAAATCCAACTTCAATAAGTCATTAAAAGTCTTATGAAAAATGGTGATAAATGTGGTGAAAAAAATGGTGACAACATAAAAATGGTGATACTGAGGTGATCACACAAAATAAAAATTAATCTGTGATTGATTTGAGAACCACCGTCATTATGAATACCTTCCATGCCGCTCCAAAATTGCTACTATGAAAAGTTCGACGAATAAGAATGAGGAAATATATCTCACCAGCGTTTGCATCATCGGGTCTCACTGATGCATTATTATTCACAGGGGAAGGTGACGCTTCACCGTTTTCCTTGTCTTCCATCCTAATTTGAACTCCTTTTGAATCGTCGCTCTCTCCTGCTGCTAACCGATTCTCAGCTTTGAGCTTCTAGAAAGAAATGCGTGTCTGGGGTTGCACAGTTTCAAAATTTAAAAATTCTTTTTAAACATGCCATTTTTTCGCAACTTAAGATTCGGTTACTGTAACCGAGTCAGATGAACAATTGATTCGTTAGGAACGGACCTGTATTTTATCATCTTGAGTAGTGGATTCATCTGAGGAAGGTGCTGTAGATTCATCCATTGTTGCCACCATAAACAGAAGGCTTTACCTCAAAAGATTCGCCTTCTTCCCACAAACAAGGAGGTGCACCTGAATCATTACGGACAAAACATTTCTCATTCGTGATCACACTTGATTGTAGTCAAAATGGCGTCGTGAGCAATCATCACCCGAGAGCGACCTGTGGTTGGCCTTTGGTCCAAAGCTGACGAGGAAAAAAGATGACGAACGCGAGATCGATAGCACAATTAGGATAAAATGCAAAGTCCGCTAGCACGGGAAACAATCTCGAAAATTGAAAACAGTAACATCCACAAGTTGCAAGAATTCAAGACGAAGAGTCGAGTAGCATACGAGTGTTCGACAATGAGTTCACTGCGAAAGTTGAAAATTCAGTACTAAAATTAAGGATTTACATTAATGTTGCGGCGTCGTAAGCGGCATCGCAGGCGACGAGTGGGCGGGACTACGCAGTGAAATTGTGAGCATCCATGTTGTTGAGAACTGGCCACGTCTAATACTCAGTGAAAAGCGCAAGCCGCCGCTAACGATGTCGCCCGCGGTGTCCACAAACACCTTGGAAGGGGAATCCCTAGTGTGGAGCCATGTTGAACGGGTGTGTCGACAGCTCGCTTTCCGGAAGAGAAGGAAGAGCTACATTGGCTTGGTGCTAAGTGAAATACTGAATAAACTCCTTTTTGGAGGTTTATTTTTGTATGAATCGATAGAGGACGTTAAGGGGACCGCTTAGATATGCAACTTGATGGGGTCGAGGTTCATGGGTGCCAGGGAGAGGGCCAGAAAGGGAAGGTGGCCGAGAAAAGACGCTCCGGCGGCGGCGGCCGTCGCGGCCTGACCACGTCTCGCGGAAACGGGGTAAATAGAATAAAAAGAGCGTATACGCAGCACAATCGATCGATAATGCGGCGCTGTCGGTATAATCTTGCTGGGGGGATAAGTGACGACAAGTTCGAATCCGGGGCTCTCCCATTCAGATCGTTTTCCCATTCAAGTCATCTACAGGAAGTTCTGTAGGTAGCTTATCAGTTGGAAATATCCCGATAGAAACTCCCCCCATAAAGACTCTCTTTATCTTGGCACACTTCTTTTTTCATGAGGCCTCTGTGTGTGGGAATATCTTATAAGTCCCAATAGAATGGAGAAAACAATTTGAGTTCAGGTAGACCGCTATATAAGCCTTTCTACCAATCTGTTGGGCTCTACAGCTGTCTGATAGGCGAAGGGCTCAAAAATCTCTGATTCCTTTGTGTAGGAGGAATTTTAGATTTGATTTTGCCAAATATTTCGCTAAAACAAACTCAGGTAAATGGATACCATGCCACCTGGAAAACATCCTGGTGCGAACGCAAAAAGTCATCTACAGTTATGTTGTGGCGGCGGTCGGTTGACCTTTAGACCCTTCAGCACCCAGCCCCCACCCCACAAAACCATCTGCCACTCGTTAAGAAGAATGTAGTAACCTTGGCAGGTGGAAATCTCTCTTACAGTTGCCCATACGCGGTTTAGGATTACTTGAAGGGCATGTGTTTCAGAGTTTCGATGGCTATAGAAATCTTAAGCTCTTCAGTTAATTTTGTAGTTGTTGAAATGCAGTTGTTTTCTAGTCATTCTAAAAATATTCTATTTTTATAGCTGGGAAATACTGAGAAAGACAATGGCGTTCGAGCTGCTAGAGCCTCAGTTACTTCGGGATATTTGAGTTGTTGACCATAACCTATGGATCAGCCATCTCGCGGAGTATCTGACTTTTTACGGTTCTTACCACTGAAGAACCCTTTTCTCGGGTATTACTGGCAGATTTTGTGTCATTAAAGTCCGTTCATGTCAGTGCAGCTGTGTAGTTGTGAATCCATCGAACAGGAAAAGCTTTTTTTTCTGAGAGAAATCTTAAGGTATAGGTGAACTGAGAAAGCTCCTTATTCTCGGTACCGTTCTTGATCCTATGTTTGAGTATGGCCTTCACAAGTTTTCTAGAAACCACTCTAATGGAAGAAACATTGCTTCAAGCGTCTAAAATATATTGCCCTAAAAACTGCTCATACAACTCAGTCAGGTGAGAACACTGGTATAGGAAGTTACAGTAACATCTCTGGATAAGTCGGAGTGAATGGAGGCGGTGACGGTGAAATCGTGAAAATTAATAAAGGATTTATGTAATATGTGCATAAAACCAGAATCTTCTTAGGGCAGGAATAGCTGAAACTTTCGGAAATTTGTTTCATTTTTTGTTATCAATGCACTTTTGAGAAGCAGCTTAGCTGATGCTCCAATATATGTAACGTACTTTAGTCTGAACTTTCATATTCTTGGCATCTCCAATTCATATGCTTTTTCGTCAATCTACTCATCTATCTGAAAGGAAGAATATTCTGAAAAAAATAGCTCTATAGCCCCTGGCTTTTTCTCTATCCCTTTTGAGCGCAACATGTTTCGACTTCCACTCAAAATCGTAATGGTCTCTGAATGAGTATTTGGCTAATAAGCCAATAATTTGCGGGGGCAACGATGCATATGTAGGAGAGTCCATCGTCTGAGGTGAGCTTGATATTAATTGTAATTCATTCAGTGAAATAGTTCTATCACTTTGTTGTTCATCGAAAAAGGAAACGATCAAAACAACGGTGTCGTAATAGATTCATCCCAACTGTGTCTTTTTCTTGCCTGGAGTATGTATTACTTTTTTATTCACAAACCGAATCCTAGAATAGAATTGTCAGTTCTGATTCCTTCAGATGTATCTTCAGACCTACGACTCTTCAAAAAGAAAAGCCTATTGAGAGAGAATAGGGCGAAGAGGAAACGCCGGAAGCTCAGCTACGCTTTTTCTATCGAACTCCTTCACATTGGCTTGGTCTGTGCAGTGTCCTTGTAACTCTAGAAAGGTCGTCAGGAAATGAATGTAACGATATGGTGATGTCCGTGAACATCAACAATTCACCGACATGGCAATAACTAGGAAAGGCGTGCTTAACAGAATATGATGGTTGAGTTTCGAGTTCGTATTTTTCATTTACATGGTATGCCCTTATGGTTTGGGACTCGTCAGTCTCGAGACTCGACAGTCTAATTGCCAGAACTCCATATCATAACATGAGACTCCTCGGCACCTGCAAATGCTAGCCCTTTATTTGTTAAAAGCCAACTCGAGGTCAACTTTGTTCGGTAAGAACGAGTACTAAATGGCTTTGATGTGTCTGAGGGGTATTAACATCCACTTTGGTGCTCTAAATTGAGTCAGATGGCTATTTTCGTGCAACCGGCTATAAATATTACTCAGAAGCTTGTTTTCATATTTGTCCGGTTTCTTTTTCGATAACCCAACTGCTCGGGAGCAATAATGAAGTGACGAAATGACGTAAACAAACGTTATCGATTTTCGCATTATCATCTTCCCGGACCTCACTCCATCAGATTATTGTCTCCCTTGGTCTTTCATCAATGGAATGCGTGCATTAACCACCAGCTGGGCGGGCAACTTTGTTGGGGCCGGCCCCAGTGGTAAATGAAGTTGTTAAATAAAAGTTATGCTGCTTCTCAACTAATTTGTCTCCTCCAAGATCCAACAATTTTGAGATATTTCTGTCGTTTCTGTTCCTGAAGGAGCTACGCTACAGACAGCATGGCAGCCTACAGAATAGCAATAACTTTGATCGAATTTTCAAGTTGCGAAGTCAATCAATCAATCAATCGAGCTTTCTTTTCCATTGTAAGAACATCAGTGATGTCCCGTTTATTTGAGCAAGATCTCTTCCATAAATTTTGCCAGTAAGTTGTCAGCACGCCACATAGTTTTTTCTCTTCAAATTAGAGTTTTCCGTCAGTGTCTGAAGGTCTGCTGCGTCATAGTGACAGCCTCGTAAGTTTCTACTGTAGAGGCATTGAGAAACTTGTTGGAAGTTTAACATTCTGACGGCATGGGCAAAAAGAAATGCGAACGACGGGCGTTTTTTCACATCGCGACTGCAACTCTCCGCCCAAAAAGTCCGGTACGTTAGGCTTCATAGCTCAACAGTAGCCGTGTTTTTTTTATTCCTTTTGCGAATTTCATTTTTTCTTTTTTTTAATTGTTATATTTTTATTTTTCAATTTTTTTAAAATTATTTGTTATTTTGGCTTTATT